CAGCTTCTAGTAGGAAATCATATTAAATTCTTTCCTGAGTTATGGGATGAAGGTAACCTTCCAAAACCAACTAAATGGTAATATATGTGGTTGCAAGTATTAGAAAATCAGTTTGGACTTGAGTCTTTGGGTGTAGCAAATACACCAGATATATTCTTTTTTTGCCTTGAAATCTGTTTCTCTTTAGACCCTCATCCCTTCTACAGTCCCCACTCTTCAAACAATAATCACCATGAATTTTGTCACTTCCTTAGCAAATACAAAAAACATCCCTTTCCACTTTCTCTCACACCTGCCCCTTAGGCCCAGGCTTAGCATCCTCCTTCAGTGGCCTCTCTCCTGTCCAGGTGCACCAGGAAGGATTAATGAAGTTCCCAGGCAGTCACTAATTCTTCCTCAAGTGTTCATTAAGCTCTTATCAGTCATCCGAAGGTAAGACACCGTCCCACAGGGTTATTTGTAAGGCTTTTTTGGTTAATGTTTGCTGTAGTATCATCTATGGCTCACTCCAGAGTTTCTCTGTTTTCTCCATCTGCCAGCAACACCAAAAGGCAGGTTGGGGAAAAAACTATCGCACCAGCTTGGAGGACAAATACCAAACACCAGTCAGGCTGCATTCTCAAGGTCCCAGGCCAACCTGCTTTATTTAGCAGTAGCCAGAAGTCCTTGTGGTATAATAGCCACCACTACTACCCTTGCCAGTTATTAAACATATTGATGTGGAGGTTGACCTTTCAACAGATCTCGCATGAGTCAAAAACTTAGCAATGAAAGCCCCCTAAGTAAGGCGGACCAAGGATTTAATGACAATCTTTGATTTTCTCTGTCTGAATTATGCAAATATGTAAAGCAGAAAAGGAATACAAGCTACAGAGACCCTCCCACTTGTAATAAAATGAGTGGAACTGGAGACTCAGGTTTTAGAAGGGATATATGTTGGTGTGAGACTAGAGTCTTGAGTGCGTAATGAGAGTGGCTACATAAGCAGAGAAACAGCAGAGCACACAACAGTGGTTTCCAACTAAGCATGTTCCATAAATCCTGCCGGTAACAGGTCCACTTGCTTTCCTGCAACACTTGGCTGTTACCAAAAACACCAAACTTTTCTCCCCCAGTTAAGAATTACCTGAGTGAAGGACATATATTCTTGGAAGCAGCAGCTATTAAAGCAAGTTCAGGACTCTGAACTCAATCCAAGGCAACCACCTGTTTTGTTGATTGATTCAGGGTTCATTAGTTTTTCTCCAGGACAGATTTTAAAAATATACAGACAAGCAGAGAGACTAATAAGTGCCCATACCTCTGCATTACTAAAAGTTAGGGACCAATTTTTTAAAGAGACCAATGCAATTTTTGTTCCTAAATACCTTTAAAAATGTGGTCCTCTGTGCCTTTCATTTCCTCATCAGACAAGAGGGAAAGAGAAAAACAGTTCTCTTTGTAATATTCTTCCAGGTATCTAAATAAACAGCATCACTTTAAGTGTAAAATCTTATTCTTCCCTTAATATGTGTAACCTCAATTAACCTTATCAGAGCACGTGTGTAAACTGAGATTATACCCTTTAACGAGCAGCTATAGCTGTATTGTAAATGCAACATTACATGTTCTTTATTACGGTTCAAGACCACTACACTCTTCAAGACTTATAAACGTCAGAAAACAGAGAGTATAGCAAAAATACTTTAAAAAAAAATTAACCATAAGAACACTGGCAGAAGGAAAGATAGCTATAAATTCAGCTTTAGTTTTCCAGCACATACGGTGACAAGCCATGAATAATATGCATTTCTACACTTCCAACATACAGATGTACATGCTGCTCAGTGTAACCTTTGCAGTAAAGTCTCTTTAACAACTGCTCCAAATGGAGGAAGAAAATGGCTGAGAGTGAAAAGAGCAGCCCTTTGTCTTGTCTCTTACAGAGTTACTGCAATTGCACCCATAGAATAAAAAGCAGGGTCTGAAATGTATTAGTCTATGCACTTGTCCCGGCTTTTAAACACTTTTTTGCAGGGATGTGGAGTTGTATTTCTATAGTGAACAGAAGACAGAAGATCCCACTTATCCTCCCTTTTATACTAGGATTTGATTACTTGGATAACAGTCCTCATTTAAAAATTAAAGGTACTAAAAACTCATCAAATATTGTAATTATATTGATCCTGCTGGATGTTGGATCTGGGCTCTAGCTACTAAACACCACCAGCTAGGCTTTGGTTAGTAAATAACACAGCTTTGTTAACCAATTAGTGAGGTTGCCAAAGCGTGTTAATGACAAATAGGCTCCAATTCATTTGGCAAATAAAAGACAAGCAGGCTACTATATATATTATTGATTGAACTGTGTCAGCTGAGTATTTCCCTAAACATAAGCAACTACTTTTGCAGGCCTATATCAGAACATTATCCCTATCATATTGTTTGACTTTTCCCTTGCATTGTCAAAAAACAACTATTTTTCAAAACAAGTAGTGTGAGATGCTTCATGGATCTGATAACAGAAAACTTAATGGTAAAGATTTGCTTAAAATAAGGCAGGGACTTGCAAAAAATCTGGTATTTTTTGTTAATATAGCTAAATGCAATTTGTCCTGTTTTTCACTTCCAATAACCACAATCTGTGCCAATTCAGCAACAAGTAGTTTTTCTACAATAAACAAAACTTAACTGTGAGATACTGCTCTCCTTATTCAAGTACGATTCCCAGTGGCTTCAAGAGTTTTACCCAAGAAAGGACTAGTTTAAACTTTGAATGACATGTAACAATTAGTACTTGATTGTGAAAGCCTGTTCATATCTGTGTTCCTTGAAGAGAGATTTTTACATAAACATAACATACACAAACCTCATCAGCATTAACAGGTTTTCCCATATACCTTTTAACAGGTACAATAATAAGGGCAAAGGGATCCAGAAGATTAAAGCAGCAAGCTGAATCTAGCTATTTCTCTTCTCTTCTGTTGCTTAGCCTGACCAGACCAGAGCTTCAGAAACAGTCTTCTTCACACTGTCTGTGGTCATGTGGATTGAATTGGCATATAGGGTGTTGACAATGCAAAACAAGCAAACTTCATGACTTTGCAGACAAACATCTTTTATTAGTAGTGCCTTGGCAATGCCTCTGCAATACAAGATAGGTACTTTAGACTTAATTTAATCTACTTCCCACACAAAACTTTCTGCTACCATGCTGCTGGATACTGAAATGTATTAAGATCTCAGAACCCCAAGATCTGCAATGTGTAGAAAACACTTTGAACCTGAAAAGCACCATACAGGGTCTAAGCACCCTTATGGTTGCTTTCTAGGTCACCAATTACTTGTAAATTGAATTAAATGCATCCCATAGTGTCCTATTGACACTTCTGCTATTTGCTATAATGCCCCTTGTTTTATGCCTTTATCAGATTTTGGTTGGCGAGTGTCTAGAATCGCTTTGTGTGCATGTTTTGGGTTAGTTCCTTGTATACAAGAGGCAAGGATGCTGCAGCTTTATGTCTCTAGGTCAATGTTGAGGCAAATTTGTGGGGTGCTGGCAGAAGGTCCCAGATAGCTCATCTACCAGGGCTCCTCTATCTGCTTTACAAATACAGCAATCCATCCAGGAAGAGCGCACACCAACTGCAGAGGCTTCCTCAGTCAGACGAAGGGTTTTTGAACCTGAAAGCTTGCTAAGAATTTTTTTTCCCCCCAACTCTAAGTTGGTCTAATAAAAGATATCAGATTCACCCAAAGCACCTTGTGTGCCTGTCCTTAGACCAACACAGCTATATCCAACACCCCCGCTACAAATAAGGCAGCATCCGCTGGGCAGAAAGGTAGTTAGCTCATTGTCAAAACCCATTCCCTATTTGGCACCTCTGCCCAGACTTACAGCAAGGCTTCTTTATCAACCCACTGAAAAGGGCAACACTTGCCTCTTGGCAGAACTAAGTACCATCTATTCATGGATTTTTTTTTTCAGGCAAGACCTTTTCTATTAAACCAGGTCCTGCCTTCTCCCCAAGGACATTACCAATCGCAAATCACTCTTCATGAGAGTTAGACGTGCCCCAGCAACACTAGCCAACATATCCTTTCTAACACCACTATTCCCCAAAGCATCGCATGCCCTCCAACTGCTGTCTTTCACCTCAATGACAGCCACACATTAGCCTCAAGGAGCATACGCAGTACATAAAGCAATTTGCAGTATTCATTATAAATTGTTAATTCTTATTAAAGCTTGGGAAAAAATTCCTAGTTGGGGGACTACAGCCAACATTTTCAGAGGCATTCACTAATACATTATGCCTTAACTCTCAGTTACCCAACACGCCCTCCCCTTTCCAATGACTGCTGCAACTCAGTTTTCTAAGCAGCACCAAAACATGTTTTTGACATTCTGGGGTGGGGAGGGAAGGGGGTGCTGCTCCCTGTAGGATTTGGAATAGCAGCAGGAGCATTGAGCACTGCTGAGGATGTCACTTAGCTCCCATCCAAATCAGCCTAGGAAAAGGCAGTAGAAACACTGGAGCGATCAACTACACTCAGGCAACTAATGCTGCAGCAGTTCATGCAGGATCCACATTAGAATAACTAACTCCACAACCAAAGCAGGGGGAGGATACCTTAAGCTCATGAAAAATTGATGTCAGTTCACCCTGGTAAACCCAACAGCCACAATGAAGAAGGATCCCCCCAGCCCCACTCCTAGGTATAGCTCTCAACCTCTACCCAGGAGGCTCCAGCTCCAAGGAGACACCCCCTCCAGCAGGTCCCACGTGCTAAGTCTGCAAGCAACCACACTGGAAAAGATCTGCCCAGTGCAAGGTCGCTGAAAGAAAAGACCACAGTATCTTGGCCAGAGGCACAAGGGCAGGCTTGGGCTGAGAAGAGACCAGCCCCTGCAGTCACAACTCCTTACCTTTACATTTCTACCCTGCTTCGCTCAGCAGTTCCTGGTTGGCTTGGGATCAAGCAGCTGCATCATTCATCATCAGACATGCGAAGGGAGTGGTGGAGCATGTAGTTTTTGCAGCTTCCCTCCACCAGGACAGGTGCTTGGGAGCCTGCCCTGATCTCACAGCCACAGGAGGGAGGGCGGCAACAGGACTACAATTCCCAGAAGCCCCGGCAGAGCCTCCTGCCCTCCTCTCTCGCTAGCGGGCTGCGGGGGGGATAGTTCACGTGCTGCAGGCGCCACTGATCGAGCTGAGCAGAAGCACTGGAGGCTGGGAACTACTTGTCCCACGATTCTCAGCGTGCCCTAGGGGATTGCTCAGTGGGAGATACACATTGCAATGTATGCAGTAGGAAGCTGCTTTCCTGCCTTCCAAGCCATGCTGCAGCACCAAAAAAATCCTCCATCAAGACTGCCAGATAATGCTCTCGTCGTGGGGTGGAAATGGATAATGAATATATTTCTAAGAGGCTGGAGGGTTGGAATTAGCCACGAAAAAAATAGTAAACAGGTATTGCAAATATAACCGTAAAACCCAAGCAGCTAGAATTCACTGTTCCCATGCACTGATTAACTACCACCCCTTTCAGTACAGTCATAACTCCCGTTACCTACAAAGATGCCCATGCTTAACTTGATAAGGCTGTTTGGGTAAATCTGGTATCTTTTATTAGATCAACTCAAATAGTTGGAAAAATTACTTTTTGCAAGCTTGCAGGTATAAATACCCTTCCTTGTCTGCCTATGTCCTACATAGGGCGGCCATCATAGAGGACAGTCTGGTTGTCCTCTGTCCTTTATTGATACAGAACCTGATGCCTTTTTGTCCTCTATTTTTCTTTTCAAGTTTATACAAGGGAGCTATTTTTTCTCTTCAAGAGAAAAATAAAGGACATAAAGGCGTTGGGTTTCGTATCAATAGAGGATAGAGGACAACCAGACTGTCCTCTATGATGGCCACCCTATCTAGGACATAGGCAGACAAGGAAAGGTATTTATAGCTGCAAGCTTGCAAAAAAAGAATTTTTCCAACTATTTGAGTAGCAAAAAACTGGAATGTCCTCTATGATGGCCACCCGAGTCCTAGACGAACGCAGCTACAACCTATACCCCGTAACACACTTAACTTGGCATTCTTGCTGATTTATGAAACAGAAGTAAAAGCTCCAAGTTTTCTTTGTTTCCTGATGAAATGAATGGAACTACTGGTAGCAAAGCAAGAGTAACATTGGACCCCTGCCAAACCAAATAGGACAACTGATAACCAACACCCAGGAAAAAACTAACCTGCTTAATGGGTACTTTGCATCATTTTTTCGTCAACCCAAAGGGTCTGGCCTGCCTAGCAAGATGTGGGACAGCCAGGGTGAGGGTAGATTTATACCCAGCGTCAGTGTAGACCTTGTAAAGGAACACCTTGAGAGGCTGGACACCATCAAGTCAGCGGGTCCTGACAGATTGCACCCTAGATTACTTCAGGAGCTGGCAGGAGTCATAGCCCAGGCACTGGCAAAGATTTTTGAAAACCCATGGCACTCAGGTGAAGTACCTGAAGATTGGAAGAAGGCCGATGTGGTACCTACCTTCAAGAAAGGGAGGAAAGTAGATCCAGGGAACTACAAGCCAATCAGCTTGACCTCAATCCCTGGTAAGATTCTGGAAAAAATCATCAAAAAGTCCATTCTTGACAAGCTGGCTGATGGCAACATCCTGAGAGACAGCCAGCACGGGTTTGTTGCGGGTAGGTCTCACCTGACCAATCTCATTTCCTTCTATGACCAGGTGACCTATCACCTGAAGAAGGGGGAAGAGATTGACATCATATATCTGAACTTCAAAAAACTCTTTGATCTGGTGTCTCATAATCTCCTCTTGGAAAAATTAGCCAACTGTGGTCTCAGCTACATCACAGACTGATGGCTGGAGAATTGACTCTGAGACCGGACTCGGTGGTGGTTGACAGAAGCTAATCATCATGGCGCTTCATGACTAGTGGTGTTCCCCAAGGCTCTGTCCTTGGACCTGTTCTCTTTAACGTCTTTATCAGTGACCTGGATACAGGTGTCAAAAGTGGACTGGCCAAGTTTGCCAATGACACCAAACTTTGGGATACAGCATCCACAGCAGAGGATAGGCTGGTGATACAGGCTGACTTGGATAGGCTGAAAAAGCAGGAAGATACGAACCTCATGGCTTTCAATATCAACATATGTAAGGTACTCCACCTTAGGGAAAAAAACCCACAGCACACTTATAGGCTCGACAGTGCTATGCTCACTAGCACCAAGGCCGAAAGAGACTTGGGAGTCATGACTGACCACAAGATGAGCATGAGCCACCAATGCGACGTCGCAGCTGGTAAAGCAAACCAAACTGTGGCTTGCATCCATAGATGCTTCTCAAGTAAATCTCAGGATGTCATCCTACTGCTGTACTTGGCCTTGGTGAGGCCGCAGCTGGAGTACTGCATCCAATTCTGGGCTCCACAATTCAGGAAGGATGTGAAGAAGCTTGAAAGAGTCCAGAGGAGAGCCACGCGCATGATCAGAGGGCAGGAGAATAGGCCCTATGAAAAGAGGCTGGGAGTCATGGGACTCTTCAGCCTGGAAATGCGCAAGCTCAGTGGTGGCCTCGTGGCAGCCTATAAGTACATCAGGGGTGTGCATCAGGATCTGGGGGAATGTCTGTTCACCAGACCACCCCAAGGGATGACAAGGTCCAATGGTCGCAAACTCCTCCAAGACTATTTTAGGCTGGACATAAGGAGAAACTTTTTTACTGTCTGAGCCCCCAAAGCCTAGAATAGGCTTCCTCCAGAGGTGCAAGCATCTACTCTGGATTCCTTTGAGAAGCATTTGGACACTTATCTTGCTGGGAGCCTTTGACCCTAGCTGACTTCTTGCCCTTGGGGGAGGGGGCTGGACTCAATGATATTCCAAGGTCCCTTCCAGCCCTAATGTCTATGAAATCTGTGAAATCTATGTATGTTTTTCTGTTTGAGAGCAGGCAAGGTTCTTTGAATAGATGTGATATCTTTGAGTAGAAAGATATCACATCAGCTCAAAAAACCTTTCCTGCCTATGTCTGTGGACCAACACGGCTACAACCAAAACCCACTTTTAGTTTGAGATGCATCCAGTACTGCCAACCACTTAGTGCTCAAAAGTCATGAGGGAAGCTCCTGGAGATCACAGGATTGGCTTCAACATGATTTAAAAGTAATTAAGCACTTAATCTACAAGGGGAGATAGCCAGAATTGCTTTTCCCATTTAACTGCCTGTGCAGAGGCATTTAGTCTGAAATGAGTGCCTCACTCCAAGTAAGTTTGATCCTTCTGTTTTCATTTAACCCCTTACCTTCATTTGAATTAGCTCCCCTGTATAAACTAGCTTAAATTTGTATTTGCCTTCTTTCTCATGAGACTAAACATGGTGTATTCAAGTATTTTTGCACAACACCAGGTCTAGAAACTTCCTTTTTTTGGAAAAAAAGAAAGCTGAAATGCGTGCATAATCACATGACTCCAGAATCTGGGACACCAACAAGCATCACAAGACTCCCTATTAAAATTGTGAGTTGGCAACATTGCAGAGAAGTGTTTGTGCCAACTGTTTTTAAAACATACAGAGGAAGATTGTGCAGGGAAGAGCTCTCTGTTCTCCATAAACTTCAGGGATTGCTTCTTAACAGCATAAAGAACCCTGGGCTGAATTCTTAATGCAATAGTTAATAATTGTAGGTAGCTAACTTGAATGATGCCTTTTCGTGCCTACTGTAAATATAGACTATAGATTATAGACATTCTTAGTATTTCTTAGCATTAAGGTTCTACATCAAATGATGTAATAAGTAAAAGTCTATTCTTTAAACATTTTATAGAATGTCACTAATTTAAAAAATTACTTCAGTAAGTGCAAAACAGATCTCTAAAGTATAGTTTACATTGAAAATACCTTTTTTGCAGAGAAAAGAGATCTCTATCTAGCTGGAATAAGGAGTCTGTCAAGATTTTGGTGAAATCAGAGTTCACTAAGGCTTGTTTTTTCCTTTTGAAATGTAAGAATGCATTT